GGACAGCAGAAGGAAAGGGGGGAGACAGAAAGCGAAATGTAAAACTATAGGGTAATTTCATTTTAATATAGTCCAAAATTCTCAAATATAATATTAGTTATGATTAACAATTTAAAACATTAATTTATTCAAAGAACAGTTTGTTAAGGAATGTAACATTAGTAACCCTGCCTATGACTTAAATCACTGTTTAAATGCTGCCTCAGAATCCCATGGCCTTGCCTGCATCTAAATCTTCCTGGTACATAGTTTTGAATTGCTTTTGGCATTTACTAAATCCTGTTCTAATTCATACTGTGTGTGTCTCTAGTACTGAACTGTAAAAATCTGATGTCAGAGCCCTATTTGTACTATCTAGTAAAATATTCACTTACTATACCTTTTGCATAGCAAGGAGAAGAGGAAGGAGGAGGAGGAGAAAGCATTTATAAATGAGCAGAATAATGAGCCACATAAGTGATCAAAGAATAAACTGATGTTTGATTGCACAGACTTTCCATTCCTTGCCTTTTCTACTTTGCTTCTCACCATATTTCTATAATACTAATGGTGGGGTATATTCCGATTACCTCTAATGCATACTTGGATCAGAGCAAACCTCTTGTTTAGCTTTCTATTCTTGCTTTATCACATTCAGAGCCATTGTATAGTGAGATATGTTTTAAAGCAAATAGTAAATATTACTCTAAGTGCCATATTTGTTATAATTTATAATTCAGTCTTAAACTTTAAATATTCGGTATTTGTACACAAAGTGCTTTTAGCACCTCAGAAGAATAATATAATCCAAATACAAAGTGCCATTATGTTTTTATCTTCAGCTTCTCACAGTTTATGATGTAATATTTATATGTCACATAGTTGAATACTTTACATTTCTACAAATCCTTCCCAGAAATAGTCTCACCCTAAATAAAACTGTTCAAAGTGAAGCTCCTTAGTTTTAAAATAAAATAAGTGATGAAACAGAATAAAATGATATTTTAAACCCCATTAGGAACAAAGGAGTATCAGTAAAAACTTCTTATGCAAAGCAGAGAAATATTTATGGGTACATCAGCCACAACTGTCTTTTTTTTTTAAACTATGAGTCATGCAGTTCCATCAGGCACTTACTGCTGCCTGTCATCAGCATCCATAGACTCAGAACTTGGGAAAAACAAGCTAAGAGTCTCAAATTTCAAATGATTAATAACAGAGTTGAAAGAGGTTATAAAAAGGAGAACTTTTTTATCATTAGATAATCTGTTGTAAGCTATTTTTGTTGCATCTACATAGGAAAATGAAACTACTTAATTCAGTAAACCTGGTTTTAAAAATGGGCAAATTAATAAATGCAATATATGCTAGTTATGTAGATAAAACAACATGTATGTTGTGATTTGCATAATTTTAAGCCAAGATTTCCCTATGTCTAAACACCAGGGGATGATTGAAAAGCAGCAGAAGATGAACAGGGCAAGAGTGTGGATCCTGAAATCAGATGGCCTAGGGTCAGAGCCACAGCTCAATGATTAGCTGGGAAGTCTTGAGCAAGTTACAGATGCTCCTTGACTTACAACAAGGTTGTGTCCTGATTAAGTCCATCATAAACTGAAATTATCATAAATTGAAAATGTACTTTATACAAAGAATCCTCCAAACATCATAGGCCAACCTTAAACAAGGTCACATGTTTACATCAACTTACAGTGGGGCAAAATCATCTCACACAACAACTATTTTACTACAGTGAGTGTAGATATCACATGGAGTAACTAGGAACTGTGGTTTCCTGCTACTGCCTAACATCTTGGCAAAGTATGGTACTAGATACCACTAACCTTGGAAAAAACCAAAATTCAAGGAAGGGTTTCTACTGAATGCAGGTTACTTTCACACCATTCTAAAGTCAAACAGTTGTCAGTAGAGCTACAGTATGTCAGATACTCCCTGTAATTAAACTCAAAGTTTCTGTATATCCTTTATTTTGACTAGGATATTGGTAACTGTGTATACATCTATCCATACTCACTTAACTGAACATTAAAAATCTATGCACTTTATTTTACATAAATTATGTCTAAATAAAAAATTGCTTAAAAATCAGCATTCTCATCTGAAGGAAAAAACTATAATGTATAACACACACACACATATATATATGTGTGTGTGTGTGTGTGTGTGTGTGTGTTATATAACACATGTGTTATACGGAGCAAATAAAATACTTCATATACAATGCCTCACAAATCATGTTTTATTATTTGAATAAAAAAACCAATGTTTTCCAAGATAAATATTATCCTTTTGTTAAAAATCAATAAAGAAATGCAATTTCAAAAACGTATGTTACCTTACTGAAGATTTGAAGCTGAGCTTTAAGTCCTGATGAATGTCAAACTTCTCTACTCTAATAGAAAATTAGTATAGGACTTTAGGAAGTTTGGCTAGTTTGAATGAACAGTTTGTCATAGATCTTCTTTTTTAAAATATTATTTTATTGGTATATTTTAGGGATACAATATAATGACATTCATCATTGGAAATTTGCACCTTTACATAATCTCTCTTGGTTCTTATTTTTTCCCCTTCACCTCCCCTCGCTCCAACCCCTCCGTCCCTCCCTATTTACAAAGACTTTATTTATTTCCATTTATTCATTTTCTCATATTAATTCCATTCCCTTCTTTCCTTTCCCCTACCCCTCCCACTTCCCCTTCCCCTTTGCCCCTTTTCTTCCTATTTCACATTATCTATCATACCTTCTAGTCCTTATTAACACTTTCAGTTTCTCACACTAGAGAAACTTTTCAGTATTTACACATGTGTGTCCTATTTATTTCACTTAAGAGTGTAGCCTCAATGTGCATCCATTTACCTATAAATGTCTCTAATTTCTCATTTTTTATGGCTGAGGAGTACTCCATTTTATTTTCAAAAACGTTTTCTTTATCCAGTCTCTAGTTGATGGGCATTTGGGCTGCTTCCAGGTTTTAGCTATTACAAATTGTGATGTTATGAACATGGGTGCACATATATCACTGTGGTATGATTCTTTTAATTCTTTGGGGAAGATGCCCAGCAGGGGAATAGCTGGGTCAAATGGGA